AAGAACGAGATATGTTGAAACTTTATTATAAATTTGATAGGAATAGTACAAAAACAGCATAAATTTATTTTGAATTATATCCGGAAAGACGACAGCCGGATAGAACATTATTCGGAATTTTGGACAAACAGTTGGCTGAGTATGGTGCATTTTAAAAAACAAGAATGAAGTATGGAAGCAGAATGGAACAAAATACTAGAAATATATGGAAGTAGCATGGAACAAAATATTAGAAATAACTTATTTGCCGAAGTACAATAATTGTTTTTTCAATATTCGAAGAAGTATAATTATTTTTGGTACTTTTTAGATGAATGCAGATCCTTCCAAATCAACGCATCAAGTCTCGGCAGAAATGAATGTGCCACAGACGAGTGTTTGAAGGGAATTAAAAAAAAAGTGGTTTGAAGTGTTATAAGATACATATTTCACAAAAATTACATCCAGGTGATCCTGGGAGAAGGATGGAATTTTGTAGCTGGCTTTCGAATATGGTAGACCCTACAAACGTTTCGAAAAACATTATTTGGACCGACAAAAGTACTTTTTCTTCGAATTGCGGTGTTTTTAATAGAAATAATCCACGACACTTCAAAGTAGTTCGGTTTCGTTTGAATGTGTGGGCTGGAATTTATAACGACCGAATACTTGGACCTCATTTCTTCTCTATTACTTTGAACGGTTCCTAGAAAGCGAATTCGAAGAATATATGGACGGGGCTCCTCCACATACTAAAAGAGCAGTTTGCGAATATTTACACCAAAGATTTCCTAATAGGTGCTTAGGATACTTTCTTGGGGAGCACTTTAAAGAACAGAATCTAGGGAGAGCAAGAATATGACACAGTGGGCGAACTTAGAGAAAATGTCATCACGCAATTTAGGTCTATTAGAAGAAGATATATTGTTAGGGCTGTTTTTAATTTAAGACGACGAGCTCGCTTCTGTATACAGAAATATACAGACTTGGTGTGAAGTTAACTAACTATATCTCAATGCATCCACTGTTACGACATAACTCAATTGAAGATCGTGTTATATATTTTGATCAAAATTTGTCTTTTTCCAACCACATTAGATCGAAAGTAAGTGAAGCATTGAGAGTTTATGGCTTTATAGTTCGCAATTGTAGATCTTTTTCAAACATATCTGCTCTATTTACTCTTTATGTAGTCTACGTTAGGTCAAAATTAGAATATAGCTCTGTTCTATGGTCTCCATTCTACAATTACTATAATACATTAATTGAAAAAGTTCAACGTCGTTTCCTGAAGTTTATTTACTTCAAATCTTATGATATCTATCCTGATAGAGGTATTCCATATGAATCTCTTACCATAACATTCAATATTGGAAGTCTTGAACTACGCACAAAACTTGCTGGAATAATTTTTCTGTATTAATTACTGCACAACAATGTGGATGCTATGACTGTAAGTGGTTTTTAACTGTTGGATAATAAAGGCTATTATTATTATAAGAGGAACGCCATCATTTCTAATAATATTGCATTTTTAACAGCATAGTGTTTGTCCAAAATACCGAATAATGTTCTATCCGGCTGTTTATAATAAAGTTTCAACATATTTCGTTTTTCTTCATTTGAGAATGAGGACAATTCGACTGAATTATTTGTGCAAACTTATGATGTTTGATGGCTTCTGACAACTAGTGTTCATTAAACAAAATGTTTCGATGGAGTCATCACCATTTCAGATGAAGTTGTTTTTTTAATACCTGTGGTTTCAGAAGAACAAATTATAACAGACATACATCAATGAAATCAGAATGAGAAGCACAATTTGATGATGATTGCCATAAGACGAAAAGTCGGATAGTAAATGTGAACATGAAAAAGTGTAGCTGAAAGAAAGTATCGATGAAAATGTGTTTTTGGTTTTGAGCTATGGTGTCAAATAACGCTAGAAAAAATAAAAACGAAAATTTCGATTTTCAGTTTTTTCCGGAAACAGTCGAAAATTTTTCAAGTTCCAAAGCAATATTTTGTTTAGCACAAAAAAAAACGCAACTTTGTCCCAATTCAAGCTTCGACGTATGTCCTGTAGTTTACGAGATCCCAATCCCAGACCATCCCTACCCCTACCATCCCAAATTTGGAATGGTAGGGGTAGGGATGGTCTGAAGCGACCCATAATCTACTTTTTGAGGAAATGTTTCAAAAAAAGCAAATGCATTGAACTCATCGATCAAGTTCTGCCAAACAGTTCTGAAACACCCTGTACTATTCGAATATCAAACGAAGCACCATAACAAATATAACATATATCTTTCACTCACTGGGTTCTTGCACACCGACTTAAAAAATCCTAAGGATAAAAATTGCTCACATACAGGGTGAACTATGTACAATACTTATTTTTATTTGTGATTTAGGCCAAATGGGTAATATAAGGCTTCGTATATTAGTTAATGATAAAAGTAAGGCGTGGCGGAAGCCTGTCATCAAAATTGATGCGGTTTGAGGAAGGGGCTTCGCCATGTTACTTCTACTGCTGTTACAGGGTTGATTATTAATTTTCTTATTTATTCTTAGTTTTCATGTCATGTATTTCTTTGACAAAAGCCAGTTTAAAGGGTGAGGGAGCTAGACTCCAACCCGAATGAAATCAAGATGACGAACATGCATGTCATGTATTTATCAAAAACAATAATAATAAAGAGAATGCTTTGACAATGAAAATGAAATTAATTTGAAGTGGGGAAGGTACGTCTTTTGTTGCCCCAGAGGCAAATTTTAATTGTTATATCAAACGGGACTTTATACATATTCAAAATAAAAAATTTGCTACAAATAACAAAGATTAAAAACTTTTGACCGGATTGAATTACCGAAAGATTTTTTCTTCATTATTGAAACACAAATTTCACAAGGAATATGCTCCATTTACAGTTTTTCTCATCTTTTACAATCTGAAAAAATATTGGCCAATTTGAAATATATACTGGCTTCTTGGAATTTATTCAAAATGTTTTGAAGAACATATCATTTTCGTGTGACTGAAAAATCAAAAGGCTACAAAGAAATACATTTTTGTGATATCCCTCAACAAGGGAAGGCTATAAAAACAATAACACCTGACAAAGAAAGCTATCTAAATTCTAACGATCAATTTCATAAATAGTGAGAAATAGGGAAGGAAATAAACATTACATTCACAATGTGTACATTAGCTGGTTCTCAAGATTCAACATGCAATCTTTCTTATTTTTTCATGAATAGAAACATACAGGTTTGAAGGCTGTCATAGTTTGGAACTGCAACTAAAGCCTCCGCCAAAGCCTTTATCGATTCAATAGAAAAATAATTCATATGAAGACAAACATCTGCAAACAGTATCTTGAGCTTACTGTAACTTCAACATGTATCTATAAGATCAAATTATCTGCGTTCTAGATTAACTTGTGATTTCATCGTGAGATATAAGTTTTACTCATATGTTTTGTTGTTTTACAACTAGACCAAAGATATTTCTTTATATCTGCAAAGTTTTAACTTATTTTCATGAAATACTGACAAATTAATAGGCATATACTACTGTATTGTGAATGTAAACCATGCTTTGTCAACAAGAGTTTTCCCTCTTGGACAATAAAGTACATTTTTGATTGATTGATTGATAAACATATCGGGATAAAATTTAGATTCAACCACAGATCTGTTCACCGAAATGCCAGCATTTTCTTTCAGAAATTTTTAGGTTAAATATCCAACAGACCTAACAAAAAGCACTAGTTTCAAAACAGTTTTCTTCAGACTGTGAAAGGTACGATATTGATAAGCTTGTTGTTGGAAGATGGAATATTTGAGGAATCATTTTGTTTGAAAACAGGAAGCAGTTTTCAGACAAACCCTAGAAGAATGAAAAAAAAAATGAAAGGTTAGTATGTTTGAATTGGAAATGAAAGTTTATTAATCATATATCAAGAATTGATCTATCAGAGAAGTGAAGCATCAGCGATCTTGACAATTTGGAGCGTTGGATGGAGACAGCAAGGGCTTTCACATACCTTTTTTTTCAGTAATGGGTATGCCTATTCGTAAAATGTAAATAGATATCACTGGACGTATGGTTCCAATAAAGTGACGTAGTTTTTGTTTTTCTGTGAGTAACTCATCTTAATTTGGCAACATAATCTTCATATTTTGACATTGACTTTTCGCGATATTGCTAACGAACGGTAAAAAAATACTGGAACGGGTTTAGAACTCGATTCCAAATAAATATAGTTTAAAAAAACTAAAAAATACGCTTTTAAAGAACATCGAACTGAGAAGTTAAAAATATTAACGATCGAAAAATACTATCATTATTGTGAAAAAAGCGTGGGCGCTAGACATACAAAAAATATGGCACAAAGCGCCCAAAAAGGGATGATTTAGTGGAATAAAATAGTTTTATTCTTCTGTGACAACATTTGAAATAGGTGAATGAAGGTCCGCAACTTGATACTGTGAAAAGAAGGTGTCAATTTACGAGTCATTACCAGAATTATAAAGTTTTCTCCTGTGTTTCTAACAGGTATTATCTAGCAGTTACCTGTGATTCAAATTTCCGAAGTATGTTGCATTTTACCTCTTCAAAAACATCGTTAGACCTAGAAACATAGAAAAGTTTGAATGAAATGAAGTTGAAAATGAAAATGTTTCAAAAGGAATTTTTACCCGATGCTTCAACAAGATATTTACTAACAAACAAATTTATTAGTGAACTGGGGACTGAGAAAATCAACAATTATAGACTATGCGTTGAATAAATAGTAATTTTCCAAAAGTCTCGACTTTGAGTAGCCGTATCTCCGATCTAATTTCGGAGATACATTTTGAATTCAGATTCATCATCAGCGAACAGGAACACGTAGGTTTAATTGAAATTGTTTATAAAACTAGCGCGAGTCAAACCGAATATTCACCATTTTGCATGTTGAAGAAAAATGAACAAAAAACCTCAAATTCCAGTAAATACCCAATATCAAAGCAAATTCGAATTCATCAATTTTTATCCTCAGTAAACGGTCTATCTAAGGTATCGTACATAAAATTTGGCAGTCAATTTGGTAAACTGTTCACTAAGAATGTCTCTTCGGTTCAACAACAGTAAAAATTCACTAAAAATCGTCATAAAAGTCATCGGAACGATAAGTCAATCCGCCGCCATTACACAATATATTGAACGAAAGTCTGTAGTACATGGTAAGGCAGCGCATTTTGTTGTTAAATGATGCTCTCCCTGTTCCTCTCGTTCTCCTCCTCCGCCAAACTGCTGGAGGACCGCGAGCCGCAGATCTGCATCTCGATTTCGGCCAATCGGTGCTCGAGTTCCCATTGCTGTTGACTCAACTTGACGCTCATCGCAGCGTTTTCCGACTCTACCGTCTGGAGGCGCTCGCGAAGCCGCTTTATCTCCGTCTCGAGGGCTTCGTGGGAGCCCAGCACGGGCGAAGCCACACCTGACACCAATTGCGTCATGCTGTCGCATTGCAACGTCGTACCTGAAACAGGAAACGTATTATGTTATGGTGGTAATTTCTCATTAATTTCTACTCGGGAGATATAGGAAAATTACCTACACTTTGATTTTCGTTGATGGAATTTATACCCTGAAAGAATATTTTGAGTGAAAATTCTAAACACAGCGTATTCAAACATCCTCACACAGTGGAATGTGCTGAAAATGACTACTATTCTGTCGAAAACCACGACAGATATTTGTGCAAGTTTTCTCTCAGAGAAAATTTTTGGAGGTGCTTTTAGTTGCTCCAGCAGAAGAAACTTGCTGAAATCAATCGAATTATCACTTACAGATCTATTGCAGGACATATCTTACTAAAACAGCACTGACTTCTTGCACTTGACTGATTTAAAATCGGTTTTAGGTATTTAACGACAAGATGTTCTTGTGACACAATAATGAAGGAAGTAACAAATGATATGACATTTCCTGTTATGTTCTTTTTTATCCACGGCTTAATACTTGAAAATAATACACTCAATAAACCTACATTTGTGTGTATGTACAGAAAAAAAGTCAATATTGGTATCAACGATATAAATGTTCTGACCCAAATTCAATTGAATCCAGAAAAAAGATCGAGAACTGTGGCCAGTGAATGCAATTTATCAAAAATTGAATACCAAGTCTTGCAGAAACTATATTCGTAATGATCTTGAAAGAAAACTCGATTCTGTAATTTTTTCAACGGAACAAATGACAAATCCGAAAATAGTGATTCCTCGCGAGAAGATTGAGAATGCTTCGGAAGGTATTCAAGGAGACAAAATAAGCAAATGCATAAGAAGTTTGAGTTTATTTGAGTACATTCTACAAAATTGTGGATAATTAGGACAATTACTTCATTGATTTTCATTTACTCTCGATGCAGGTCTGTATTGAGAAAAATTAGGTTGAGGGTGGCCCACAGAGTACGAAACGTTGGATTATGAATCTGATTACGTCAATTCAACAAATAAAAATGCATGGAAGATTTTTGATACATTTTGACATAAGGTGAAGAAACATTTACTTTTCTTATAATGTTTCCCACTCTATCCTCATTCAAACATTGAGTTATTATGGCATAAGAGACACTGCTCTTGACCTGGTAGGGTCTTATCTTCAAAATAGGTATCAGTGCGTCGACGTCAATAATATCAAGTCAGATTTGAAGCCAATTTGTCATGGCGTTCCTCAGGGTTCTGTCCTCGGCCCGTTATTATTCATCATTTATATGAATGACTTATGTAGCTTTATTTTACCAAAAAAATGTGTTTTGTTTGCCGACAACACAACCCTCATATGCTCAGACAAATCACACCAGTTTATCTCAAATGATGGACAGAAATAATATCTTGGCAAACACTTGGTTCACAGCAAATAAACTGAAACTGAACGATAAAAAACCCAGAATATTGTGATATTCTCAAACACTAGTGTCACTCTAGGAGACAGTGTTAAGTTTCTAGGTATTCATATTTGATAGACTTAGTTGGTCCAGCCATATTGAAGCAACTACTCTTGAGCTACCTAGTATTTTATTTGTTCTTAGACAGTTGAAAAATGCTGTAGGTTTGATGACACTGAAGATAGCATATCATTCACTATTCCACGCAGTTATTTCATATGGAGTCTTGATTTGGGGGCATTTCACAAACTCAATCACTATTTGTCAGAAAAAAGCCATGAGAATTATGGCAAACGTAGGATGTAGGGAACACTGTCGTTCCCTTTTTATTCAATTTGAAATCATGCCACTTCCTATATTATATATTTATGTTGTGTTGTTGGAGATTCACAAGAATATTGAGATGTTTCCGAAACACTCTCACAATCATGATTATTCAACACGATCCGCATGTTTATTGAATAATACAAGACAGGTTAGCGGTTAACTCTCTATATCACAGTCTATATCATACCGAAATTTTTGAAATTTTTTAGTGGTGAAATTAAAATTTGGATGGATGTGATAGATACGAGCATGTAGCTACAAGACCAAACTGTAATCTTCGATTTAGTTATCATCACTGTAGAAGCAATTTTGAAGACGTATTCACGTCAGAATAGGCGGATTTGAAGAAATCAGCTTGGATTTTTTTTCAAGTGATTTAGTTCAAAAACTGATCTGTGCGAACAGCCTAACCATCTGCAGTTTGTATGATAATTGATTCTGAGGCTGTATTTTCGGATGCGCCTTGAATATTAAAAAAATTAACAACATATTCTTCTTGTTGTGCGACCTGACATGATACATTTTAAAAGAATTTTGATATNAGTCCAGCTTCCTTCAATATTCATAACTTTTTCACTAAGTTACCATTACACAGCATGAGCTACCAAATATATTAACCCATCAAAAGTCAGGTTCAAAGCGAACTATTTACACATCGATCCGCTCTGAGAAATACGTTGGAATAAAACTTAAATCTTCTGGAAAGGTTATCTGAGAGTTCGAGAAAATTCATGGCGTCGAATGGAAGTCTTCTTAATCCCAATTCAGCACAGTTGAGCTCCCAATTTATTTGTTTCAGTCTGATTCTGGTGGTTCTTATTCCAAATACCTTTCTGTTTCCTGTTATCCTGGATTTACAATCCGTATGAAAGAACACAAAGCCAAACTTCCATTAGAAACAATTTGTCAGAGCCAAATAGAAAACCAAAAGAAACAATGTTCAAACGAAAATTGGATGAGGAAACGGGGATTGGAAATAACTGCATGAAAAAGGTTTTTTTATGCTAACGAAATTTTGGAGAATCCCTTTTCTTTTGAGCTTTTCATGTGATATAAAAAATTACAAATTTTAAAGTTTTTACCATAATACCTTTCATCAAATCATATTCAAATAACTCATATACAGTGTGTAAAAGCCAAATGGAATAAATTCATTATTTCGGTTACTAAGTACATAAAAAAAATCCCGAAAGTAGATCTGCGAAATGTTCATCGCGAACATCTTGACAACATCCTTATCTCGAATAAAACTGTCTTCTTACATTATTTAACATATCATGCGTGACCGACCTAACCGCAAGTGTTATTTGTTCTTTACAGTCATTCAAATTTGAAAATTAAGTTTTGTACACATAGCTCTTTACATATCCCCATAAGAAGAAAAGTAATGATGAAAGGTCAGGTGATCGCGCTGGCGATTCAATCGATCCACGCTCACCTGCTCCATCCTGCTGAAACCATATTATATTCACTGGAACTTAACGATTTCCTGGATCGGGATATAAATTTGTTAAACTTTTAATGACATTTTGAAGTAGTGCCAAATAATAATCGCCATTCAAGTTGCCCTCAATGAAAAAGGGACCAATGATATGGGTTCCTTCAATCCCAGCCCAAACGTCTTCTAATTGGATGATATTGTTATCCAACATATCCATCATTTGCTCACAAAAATTAGTTCTTCCATCAAAATCGTCTTCCATGAGCTCTGAGTGGGTATCATTTTATAGGGATGCATTTTATTTTCTTTTAATATGTTTACTATCGATGTATGAAATTAGTGGATGCCTGAATACTTCAAAATCAAGCACCACATCTAATTTGAGTTCATCACTCATTGCATTGGCAGCTGCTTTTTTTATCTGCCCCACATGACCAAGCTCGCGAAACTGCTTCTCTATTTTGCTTATTGTTCCTTGAGATATGGGCGTCAAATTAGAAAATTTCTCTTAAATAGGCGAGCTACTTCCTGTTGTGTTTGGGTTTTTATCTCCGTAACCAATCATTTGTAAAACTGTTATTTCATGCATTTCCGTTAATCTAACCATTTGTCAGACTTGAAGTTAACGAACTTTAAA